AGCTGACCTATCCATGACATCAATTCCATTGACCCGAAACCACTCCTTTGTCACCCTACTGGAATGCTTCGGGTCATTATTCTGCTGAAATATCCTGTTCAGCGGGATGTCCTCTTCAGCAAATAGTATCATAATATACTGCATTATATCTACGAATTTGTGTCGGTCCGTTATGCTAGTAATCTTGTGAATTCGGACTGCACAAAAAAATTGGGTMTGTAAGAAAAACACACCAAACCATGAAATTCAAACCGCCAAGCTTCATAGTTTTTGTGCGGAATCTGGGGTCGTACTCTCTATTAGGGGAGCGTCTTAGATACTGACGGGATCCTTTCCGCCGTATAGAATAACTTTCGACAAGTCTGTCCCCAAGATGTTGCTCCATTTCTCAATCGGTCCTTYGGCAAATTTAAGACAACTTGCTATATGATTTATTTTTTTAATAACGGTACTTTTCGAGGGCTGCGAACAAATAAATTATGTTCATGTAGAAGTGTTTTCACTGTATGAACACCGTAGGTCAGATTCAGTTCATTCCGAATCTCCATAGCTGACATTCTAGGTCGAGTCTTGGCACATCTTACAACTATTGGTGTAAAATTCTCGGAAAGAATCCATATTGCGCCCCTTTTTTGTCTTTTTTTAAATAAATAATGGCATTGAGAGTCGTTGTGGCTTAACACCCTACAATTCTTCCAATCCCTTGTAGGATTTACCGTTGTTTATGACAGATCGGATACATTCTCGTTTTTCGTCACTGCAGTGCTTCCCGCGGCCCAAAAAAAAAGTGCAAAGTCATATTTTTTTTTGCTTTTTGCATTGAATAATTAATAAAAGATCTGGAAACTTACTTTTTGTTTGATAAAATAAAATTTTTTTAATTAAAAATTATCTGTTTGCAATCATCTCATCGTTCACTACTATTGTATTGCTCGCTCATAAAAACAGATATCCCAAGTAATTCACACTTATTGTTGTATATAACAGGACCGTTATACTTCAAAGAATAAGCTATATATAAATAATGATCGACGGCAATATCATAAAAGAAACAAAATTTAAAGCAAAACTCTCTTGGCACTACTATTTCAATGCTCGCAACTGTATGTATATACCCATAAAAATATCAGACAAAAATTTTAAATTAATATCTGAAATAGTTACTGAGTCG